TTTCCCTTTCCTGAAGTTTGTGTGCATATTTTGGTTGATCCTCTCTCTCTCTCTCTCACATCATATATATATATATATATATATATATATATATATATATATATATATATATATATATATATATATATATATATATATATATATATATATAGGTTTAGGAAAATGAAATAACTAAATATAAGCAACTTTATACGCGCCTGGTGGTATTTATGCTCAGGTAAGCAAATAAATAATAGCCAAATTTTGCAAAGAGGTGTAAACATAAGAGTGCTCAATATGGTTAGACAGAGCCAGGAAATATATATTAATAAATATTCATATGCCTAAGTTTGGCGTGCGACTTAAATTTCGTTTGTTACCCATCAGGATTTTCCGCTCAAATACTGAAAAGAAATGCTACATTACTAATTACAGCATTAAATTCAGATGGAGGACCAAGTAGTCTTCATATTATTTGTCGGGTCTTTTATTATCTAGAAGAAAATAATACAAAATTACAGTTCTGCATTTATTAGAATTTATCTAGAAAAACAAAATAAAATCAAAGAATTTTCGATACAAGACATAAATATAACAGATGCAAGGTATTGCACTGATTACAGCGGGTTTTAACACTCGACCGGGTTTGTGAAACATAGAATCTAACCCGAATAATATGAAAATATTTAGCAATGAAGGAAAATCATGACTAACACCTAAAATATAGTTTCTCGTATCTAGAGCCTATAAAATAGGAGAAGGAGTGTCTCAAAAGTTTGCTGCAGAAATAGATTCCAAGCAAACAAAACAGAAAAAAATTTAGATTTACTATTTCTAGAATATTTTTTAAAATAAATCTTATGGCTTATCTTGCCACTGAAATATTATTCGTAAAAACAACAGACGAAAAAAAACGACCTAAGTTTGCTAGAAAAGAGTAAACGTACCACTTACCAAAGGAAATATATTTGGAGAGATGAAATCCAAATCAGAATGTTTGTTTTTTTTTTATCACTGAAGCTGATAAAGCGAGAATAAGGAAATATATTATCTTAATTATGGTGATATTAGTGTTATGATATGAGACTATTGCTTGTCTATCGTCGAAGATATCTTCTTGATACATTGCTTAATAGACTGTAGAAAGTCCGAAATTATCAACTGGGGCTTAAACCTTTGAGGTGTGGCTTTTACTAACAAGAAGATGATTATCTAAAAGACAGGCATCAGCTTTGTAGAAGTTATATAAAAAAAACAACAGCGTAAACGAAGAATGGACCGTCTTGGGTATGATGATGACCTACATCCGATAGCAATGCCTCTGATAGCGAGGCTTTGAAGAGCGTAAAATCACATCTTAATTGACGTTGTTCGAAGATCCATCCTGACCCGGGGTTAACACCCGGGGTTAGCACCTGTTAAGATCCCGTCTCTGAGTAAACTAAGGTCAAAACACTATGAAAGTATACCAATACATTTTTAGAGTAAAAATACCAGCAATATATTTTCATAGTTAACAAATTACCAATAATACATTTTACATATAAATTACAATACATTTAAGAAATTACTGATGCTCCCTCGTCTTGGGTATGACGATAAACTACATCCGGCAACAGGGGCCCTCATCGGGAGAATGGAAACATTTGCGGAATCTAGAACGACCGCTTAATTGCTGTTATTCTAAATCCCCCAAGACTTGGGGTGGTATCACCTGTTATGGGTCCCATCTATGGGCAAATAGTAAACGCGATGAAAGTATAAAAAATGTTATAGTATACATAACCGCAATACATTTTCATAATAAAAATAACAGAAATACATATTCATAGTAAAAATATCAGGAATGCATTTTCATAACAAAAATACCAGCAATGCATTTCATAATAAAAATACCAGCAATACATTTTCATAATAAAATTGTCAGTCAGCAATACTTTTCAGAGTAAAAAATACCAGCAATACATTTTCATATTAAAAATACCAGCAATACATTTTCATGGTAAAAACAATACAAACAATATATGTTCATAGTAAAAATACAAGCAATACAATTTCATCGTAAAAATACCAGCAATACATTTTCACAGTAAAAACAATGCAAACAATATATGTTCATAGTAAAATAAAATAAAGCAATACATTTTCATAGTAAAAAAACACTACCAATATAATTTCATAGTAAAAATACCAGCAATACATTTTCATGGTAAAAATACCAGCAATACATTTTCAGAGTAAAAAAAAACAAAAAGCAGCAACACATTTTCAGAGTAAAAGCAATACAAACTATATAGGTTAATAGTAAATTTAAATCAATTCATCTTCCTGGTAAAAAAAAATATCACCAATATATTTTTATAGTAAAAATACCAGCAATATATTTTATAGTAAAAATACAAGCAATATATTTTATAGTAAAAATACCAGCAATATATTATCATAGTAAGAAATACCAGCAATACATTTTCAGAGGAAGAATACAAGCAATACATTTTTGTAAAAATTAACAAAAATAAAAATTTCTAGCAATACATTGTTGTAAGGAAATTACCAGAAATACTTTTTTGTAAAATATATTAATATTAAATCCCAAGAAAATTAAATTTATGCATTAAATGATCCATAGCGAGTTGATATGCTGTTAAACAAACAAACGAAGAATGGAAAGCAAACTGTATTAAGCTCAATTTAACATGCGATTCAATATATCGATTTAAATCATAAGAATTTTCCCTGGACTTTGATGGATTTGAATTCAAGGATATATAAAATTATATACAAAGAAGCATTATAGCTATAATTCCAAATGTTTACCGATATCAAAGTAAAAGAAATTTATTACACATGTTAAAAATATGCGCAACAGTTTCGGAAAGATTTGAAAGGCAAATAGTTGTCAAACTAAATATTAAAGTAATAGTATTTTTTTTTTTTTTACTTGTAGCAATATGTAAATGAGTTAATTATTAAGATTTCTATCACTAAACTATTATTATCTGACAAAAATCAATTACAAGCTAAAAAATATTTTCTGGCTTTAAATAAGCTGCAATGGGTGGATAAACCGTAAAAAATGAATCAATCACTTAGTCTAATCACAGTTTGGCCAAGTTTGTAACAAATTCACAGATGAGTTCCACACTGGAATTCTGCCAAAAATATGTTTTGATATTTAAACATTAAGATAGAAATCATTTTATGAAGTAAATTTAACACTTATCGTATTTGACGGTATATATGACGCACGGGTGTATAAGACGCAGCCCAATTTCAGCAGAGCAAATCAAGAAAAAATTAGTAATTAGTAAAATTAGTAAAATTATTAGTAAATGTTACATCCTAGGCTATATTTATGAGGTATTATTTTGGTTAAACAAGCCATGATTATAATTAAACGAAAAATAATGGAAAAAAAGAACACGAGTCTATAAAGACTTTGATATACCCAAAGGTAAGAAAACAAAATAAAAATCAAGTAATTATTACAATGGAACAATAACAGTATAGTTACCATTAAAATTTTTATTCATCTTCAAATCCATAAAATTCGTCGTCTTCGTTATCAAAACTCTGATACTTATTTTCAATAGTACTGTCATCGTTGTTAAATAATGCGTCATCTTCTGTTCCATTGAGAGCTTTGCTAATGCCACACTTTTTAAAGGATTTCACAATTTCTGCTCTATTTTCCCAAGCTTGCTTCCCCCATTCGCAGACTTGTGCAATGCTGGGTCTTTATTATTCCTGTAAGTGTCAGGTCATGATCAGGCATTACCATCCGTGTGTTCAATTTCTCCTTCATGTTTAAGTTTAAGCTAATAGGAGTTGCCAGGTATTTTTAGTAACAAAAATGCGCTTTATATGCCGTCAAATACGGTTTATAATCAAATAAAATTTGTTGTTTTCCTTATTTCTTATGAAAAAAATGTAGCAATTTTTGTTGTTTTTTCTGTCATAATTTGCTAAACATCTTTTCTTTCATTTTATGTGCTGTGTCCCTTCAGGTCGTAGACGATCATAGCTCTCCACTTCTCCCTATCCCCTGTAGCTCTCAATAAGTTCCGTATCTCTTCCACCTCCGCCAGGCCACGTTCTATCATCCACTTGCTTAAGACCGCCAGGTATGCCATGTGTTGCTTTTTTCTTGTTCCTCTATTCGACATGTGAGTATCAGATTCTCCAGGCCCTCCTTTCTCATTACATGTCCCAGAAATTTCATCTGCCTCTTCCTGAAGTATAAATTTTTTCCTTTATTTTGTATCCTCTCCAAAACCTCATCGTTTCTCACACGCCCGTTCCATGATATCCTTAGCAACCGTACACTGCCATAATCCCCGGTGGGATCAAACTAGTTATTCAATTATATATGTATTTGTATAAAAACAATGGGGAAATTAAGACTTTACTCGAGAGATTTTTGCAGCAATTTTATCAAAACTTGTATTCTATTTTCTACATTCTCAAAATGCTACAAATATTAGAATGGATTTAATTCGGATAGTTGAAAAAGAAATATTTGGATGATTTCATTACCCTTGGGAAATGTATGAATTTATCAATTCCCGAAGTTATGGGCTGAATAGCAGGATAGACTGGATTCTTTTAGGCTTGGTATGCAAACAGTCAACTCCAGAAAGAAACGGAAACCTGTTGCGAGAAATATTCTGCCTTGAATCGAAAGATCACCAATTTATGTATCACACAATAGCACTTAGCTGCTGAAAGGACACAGTTAAACATATCGTACATGGAGATATAGCTATACATCACAGGTTCACATCCCAACTTCTCAACATAGTCACTGTCAGTGTTCCACATATGAATGCGGAAATGTATCCTAGCATTGTAAAACACAGCTGGCAGCCAATATATAAAAGTGAGATTAGATGATTAAAATGACGCTTAAGTTGTATCTTGAGACTTCAGTCAGTTTATATCGAACAGTGCGCAGGCGCAAAACACACGTGTTTAGCCATCAATGAATCTATTAAAAAAAATGCGCGCGAAAAAATATGTACATGTATAATTATCTTCATGTAAATATATTTCCGGCATTTCATATCTCCCACTCTATCTATCTATCTATCTATCTATCTATCTATCTATCTATCTATCTATCTATCTATCTATCTTCCACTTACCTGTTTCCCTTATAACTATAATCTTCAAAAATTTAAATGTAATTTCCATCGACATCTTCCATGGCTCTATTTATCCTTTCATCAACCCAACTACCTATACCCAGTCTATTCCCTTATTTACACTCTCTGTACCCCCCCTTGGGTACTAGTCGAACTTAGTTGACAGGAATTGCTTAATATATATATATATATATATATATATATATATATATATATATATATATATATAATTCCTTTTGGATTTAATTTACTTTAGGGTTTACGTTGATTATCTCCCTTTGATCTTAAAAACGTCCACTCTGATACGAACAGCGTGGTCGCGTTCAAATTTTAAATTTCAAACGTGCTTCAATTTTCTTTTATCATAATGACACCTAACTGCATCCTATTTTCTGCACTTAAACCCCAGTATTGTCTTTGAATTATTTTCGCGCCATCTTATTTTTGAACTATACATCAGTGTTCCTACCATGATCACCTGCATATTTTTTTTTAAAATACGATTAGCTATATCTTGTGTCCGACGAGTTCGCTATCCAGCGAAACTTATAAGGCACACCGAACCTAGGCGTATGCATATTTATTAATATATATTTCCTGGCTCTCTATAACCACATCGATCACTATTATGTTTACACCACTTTGTAAAATTTGGTAATTATTTGTTAGCTTACGTGTGTATACAAGCCACCACGTGTATATACGGTTGCTTATATTTACTTATTTCTTTCCCTAAACCTATATATATATATATATATATATATATATATATATGCGAACTCTAGCAGAGTTTTTATCAAAACTTGTATACTGTTTTCTATATTCTCAAAATGTTCCTCTGAGATTAGATATTAGATTGGATTCAATTCAGATAGTTGAAAAAGAAATATTTGGATGATTTCATTACCCTTAGAAAATATATGAATTTATCAATTCCCCAAGCTATGGGTTGAATAGCAGGATAGACTGGATTCTTTAAGTCTTGATATGCAACCAGTCAACCGCAGAAAGAAACAGAAACATGTCGCGAGAAATATTTTGCCTTGAATCGAAAGATTGGTCACTTTGGATGATTTCAGTTTTTCTCTTCATTTTTTTGTATTCCTGAAAATTGAGCACCGATAATCAAGCAAGTGCTGTAACTAGGGATTATCATGCTAAGTCAATTTGTAGAACAAATTTTCATATGAATTCGTCTAGGAACACTATATTCACTTCTGAAGAAGGTCGGAGCGTACAACGGCCGAAACGCCGTGAAGAAATATAAGGACGACAGTCCGAACAAAGTAAATAGTGTAAATTATTACAATACTTCATCAAAAGGGTATATGTAACGATTGACCCTTGACATAAAGAGGTTAATATTTTTGTGATCGCGGAAGTTAATGCATTTGAAGATTTAACATCGAGGTCAGTGTACTTATTATGTGGCGCATGTAGATGGCATAGGTGTATATAGTTAGGATAAATATGATCTGGAAAACTAAATCAACAGTCTTTGCCAATTGCCCCAAGAAGTCGGACTCGTGATAAACCTTTCCAAGGCAGTATCTAGAGGACTCCATAAAAGTAAGGTTATGTATTAGTGTGACACCATTTAGGGCTGCAAGGAAAAAGGGAGAAAAAAAAATGAAAGAAAAAGAGAGGCGAGAGTTAAAACTTAGATGATAAAGGAAAGCCATCACAAAAGTGGCATTTAGCGATGTTATTTTGATAATGAAGAATGGTGAAAATTTTTATGGCCATTGTCGAAAAGCTAATTGACAAAGTCCAGGAGCGACCAAATAACCAGATACAGAGTTTTGAATAGATAAAAAATTAACTGTGTCATGGTGGCGAACTTATATTATCGGGAAAAGATTTTCCGTTGACCGAGAAATAAGAATGTCCTGACCACACACGAGTTAAAAAAACAAAGAAAATAGGTTAAGTCTTTGTCGATGGAAAGATATCGTTAGACAAGGTGTCTGTTTTGTGTTGAAATTTGACTATAACAGCGAAACAATATTATCAGAAAATGGCGAAGTCGTTTCATCGTATCAGTGGTTGGCGCCGGAGAGTGAGTGTGTCTGGTTGACCAGCCACTTGGTGCTGGCGAATATCTGATTGACGAATTCCATGTGAAAGTGACATTGGGATAAGAATTGAGATTATCACACTACGGGTCGTATTGTTCTGTTGGCGGACAGAGAAAAAGAGAGAAAGAAAAGAAAGAAAAGTAATGAAAAAAAAAGAAAGAGGAGATAATTTTTTTTTTTCTTTGAGCAAGATATTTTTTTAAAAACAAGGCTAGTCTGGTCACACCCACACTTTTGAACTCCCATGGGATGAATGTTAACGAGAGCCAGGCGCAGGTGATCATGTGATGCAGGGGGCGGGGAGGCTGCTACCACCCATTGAGGGGATAGGTATGAGATGCTACTGCAAAGGAGTGGGAAAACCGGTGACGCATTCTGAGGATATAGTGAGATACCCATATGAGAACAGAAGAAGGTGGAAGAAAAAGAAGACTTCCAAAAATGGAAATAATAAATTTTTCCTGACCGAAAACAAAAGAAGGGGATTGTGGATTTAGAATTATCAAGGAACCTCAAACCCCGACGAGCCCATCCCGGTTTGGGTCGGCGTCCATATAAGCAAAGTCGCAGCGAGCGAAAATCAGTTGAGTTCCAGTCGAGTTCAGTTTTTTCGAGTTTAAGTTGAGAGCTCTGAAGGCCCACCAGCCATTAACTTGAAAGATTCACGCAATTCCGACTCACCTTTTGAAGAACAAATTAGACTCATACCACCAAAACAAGTTTTACGAATATCGCCTGAAGACACCAAGAACCAGTTACTTAAAGAACAGACAACTTAAGATGTTAAGACTCGCCTAACAAAAACAACGTGTCACGAATCCATATAGCGGTTTGGGAGAAAGACGTAGTCCTATGTATCCAGCAACCAGATATAAAATATTGTTATCCTTTTTAACACATTTGAACTTTTCGAGTTATTATTTTATTTTCTTTTGCATATACTTTTGTGATATCACCCTTATTCGAACTCAGCTTGCATTACGGCCCCGGCGACTGAATGATTTTGTCTGCCTAGATCAATTCACAACGTGGGTAGGCAAACTGGAAATCAAAGTAGTTACTTCGGTAACCAGACGTTGGAGGCGAGTTGGGAAAGACGAGGCTGATATCGAATCTAACCAGATTCCCATCCGAATCACCAAAATGTTAGAACGTCACATTTGGGTGCCAATACCAAGTCACATTGGTCGTCACAGGACGAGATAGCACGACTGACGCAGACAGGCGGACGTCACGTTTTGGAGTGGCGACACCCGAACGAGAGGGGAACGTCACATTAGTGACTAGTAAACACTACAATAGATTTAGTATAAGGCTGCGCTATAGATAGTTTCGCTCAATACCGCAAGTTGCCACAAAACCAATATATTCACCAAAATTTCCAATTCATCTTAAGTAGCTTTGTCAGACAGCGACATTCATATTGTTGCTAGACATGGCGCCAAACACGTTTTTAAACAAATAAACAATCTCTGTGATTGATTTCTCAAATTATGCGTTATAAATTGTAACGTTGTGGTTTGGCGCTACAGAATCACAAAGATCTGTGACAAATAATAGAAAACAACAACATCAATAACTAAAATTGATATCAAATGTACCTCGAATAGTGATTTATTTTTAAGCGCTTCACCCCAAGCAAGGCGGGATGCCACTAGCACGCAAGGGGTTACAGGGAGTTGGAGCTAGATCAAATATGTGTGATAGAGGAAAGGATGAAGAGAAGGATAGGGGATAGATCAGGACATTTGGAGACGTCGATTGACATTACATTTGAATAGTTAGAGATTATAGCTATCAGGGAAAAAGGAAGAGGGGACGTAGTTCCATAGGCGAGAGGTGCGAGACATGAAGCTATTGGAGTAGAAGAGACGGTTACATTTAACAGTTTCGAGAGTAAAAGGGTGTGAGCGAGATGCCAGCCTAGTTGAACGCTTATATTCATGAAGTCTAGGAACCAGTGAAAGCAGCTCCTCGGAGCTGTTGCCATGAAAATATTTGTAAAAAAGACAGAGGGAGGCGACGGAACGTCTGTGAGAGAACGACTGCAGACGAGATGATAGATCAGGGCCAATTACGTTGCATATCCGTCTCTGGATCTTATCAAGAACCTTGAGACAAACCTAATATTGACATAATAATTATGTTGTCTTTACATGCTTTTCTAAACAAAAGTTTAGGAAGAAAATAGATAGATAGATAGATAGATAGATAGATAGACAGATCATGATCTGCTAATAACTTATGGTGGGAAACTGCCACTTTCAATGAAATGTTATCATTCCATGTTAAAACAGTTTATATCCATATAGTCTAAATGCAAATACACTTCATAAATATAGCAAACACATACAGGTAGGCCCAGACTCACACAGGTACATACACATGCTTACACTCGTGTAATTACGTATTACTACGTATTTGTATATCTATAAGTACTTCATTTTTTTATGCAAACTTTACATTTAACTATATTTGGATTTTTGAAAGCACATAATTATATTAAAAAAACGTACGTCCAGATACATTAGAAACAACTGTAATATATCTTCCTATATATATATATATATATATATATATATATATATATATAAAGCAAAGGATGATAATGATATTAAATATATTTCATATAAAACAGATTAGCCAAAGATATGTATTTATTTTTAATGTGCTTTCTACTTCAAAAATATTCAATATTTTCCACAGCATTTTCATAAATGATGCTTTTTTTTTACGTTTGCATCTGAATTAAGAAATAAAAAAAATTCTGGTAATGTGATTTTTCATTCCTTTATAAAAAAAAAATAAAATAAAAAGAAGCAAAATAGAAAAACAAACTTAAACACTGCGTCTATTTGTCAATGAAAAACGCATTTTTCCTGTTTTCACACCGGCCCAGTTTTCGTGCGGAAGCAGCATTTTAT